GCGGAGAGGAGGGTAACGGGAGAGGAAGGTAGCGGGAGAGGAGGTAGCGGGAGAGGAAGGTAGCGGGAGAGGAAGGCAGCAGGAGGAAGGCAGGGAGAGAAAGGTAGCGGAGAGGAAGGTAGCGGGAGAGGAAGGTAGCGGGAGAGGAAGGTAGCTGGGAGAGGAAGGTGGCGGAGAGGAAGGCAGCGGGAGAGGAAGGTAGCGGGAGAGGAAGGAAGCGGGAGAGGAAGAAGCGGGAGAGGAAGGTAGCAGGAGAGGAAGGTAGCGGGAGAGGAAGGTAGCGGGAGAGGAAGGTAGCGGGAGAGGAAGATAGCGGGAGAGGAAGGTAGCGGGAGAGGAAGGTAGCGGGAGAGGAAGGTAGCGGAGAGGAAGGTAGCGGGAGAGGAAGATAGCGGAGAGGAGGTACCGGGAGAGGAAGGTAGCAGGAGAGGAAGATAGCGGGAGAGGAAGGTAGCGGGAGAGGAAGGTAGCAGGAGTGGAAGGTAGCGGGAGAGGAAGGTAGCGGGAGAGGAAGATGCGGGAGAGGAAGTAGCGGGAGAGGAAGATAGCGGGAGAGAAGGTACGGGAGAGGAAGGTAGCGGGAGAGGAAGGTAGCGGAGAGGAAGATAGCGGGAGAGGAAGTAGCGGAGAGGAAGATAGCGGGAGAGGAAGGTAGCGGGAGAGGAAGATAGCGGGAGAGGAAGGTAGCGGGAGAGGAAGGTAGCGGGAGAGGAAGGTAGCGGAGAGGAAGGTAGCGGGAGAGAAAGGTAGCGGGAGAGGAAGGTATCGGGAAAGGAAGATAGCGGGAGAGGAAGGTAACGGAGAGAAGGTAGCGGGAGAGGAAGGTAGCGGGAGAGAAAGATAGCGGGAGAGGAAGCAGTGGGAGAGGAAGTACCGGGAAGGAAGATAGCGGGAGAGGAAGGTAACGGGAAAGGAAGGTAACGGGAGAGGAAGGCAACAGGAGAAGGTAACGTGAGAGGAAGAATGCGGGAGAGGAAGGCAGCATAAGAAGAGGTAACGGGAGAGGAAGATAGCGGGAGAGGAAGGCAACGGGAGAGAAGGCAGTGGGAGGAAGGTAACGGGAAAGGAAGATAGCGGAGAGGAAGGTAACGGGAAAGGAAGATAGCGGGAGAGGAAGGTAACGGGAGAGGAAGGTAGCAGGAGAGGAAGATAGCGGGAGAGGAAGGCAGCATAAGAAGAAGGTAACGGGAGAGAAAGATAGCGGGAGAGGAAGGCAGTGGGAGAGGAAGGTAACTGGAAAGGAAGATAGCGGGAGAGAAGGTAACGGGAAAGGAAGGTAACGGGAGAGGAAGGCAACAGGAGAAGGTAACGTGAGAGGAAGAATGCGGGAGAGGAAGGCAGCATAAGAAGAAGGTAACGGGAGAGGAAGATAGCGGGAGAGGAAGGCAACGGGAGAGGAAGGCAGTGGGAGAGGAAGGTAACGGGAAAGGAAGATAGCGGGAGAGGAAGGTAACGGGAAAGGAAGATAGCGGGAGAGGAAGGTAACGGGAGAGGAAGGCAACAGGAAAAGGTAACGGGAGAGGAAGATAGCGGGAGAGGAAGGCAACGGGAGAGGAAGATAGCGGGAGAGGAAGGAAGGGACAGAAGAGGCAGTGGCAGTAGGTTATGGCAGGTAAGGGAGCAAGACTGACCAGTCATTCTCTAGTGTTTTACCTTATCTTATATACCTTTGAAGAGTTTCGAGAGTTTAACTACTCTCAAACAGGCTGTTGCTGCTGGAGGCCCATTGTCCCACATATCCATCACAGCCTGGTTGATCAGGCACCTGGTGAAGATACTTGTCCAGTTCCCTCTTGAAGACACTTGTTCCAGCCGAGTTGAATAGTCTGGGACCCAGGATGTTGATACACTGTTCCCTTATTGTGCCCATCCCAACCCTGCTCCTCACTGGGTTTATTTTACACTTCCTCCCATAACTCTCACTCTAGTATGTTGTTATGGCAACGTGCAGATTTGGGACCAAGCCCTCGCGTACTTTCCAGGTATATATTATCAAGTATAGCTCTCTCCTCCGCTCCAATGAGTATATGTTCAAGACCTGAAGGCGTTCCCAGTAATTAGATGCTTTACTGGCTCAATGCGAGCCGTAAACGAACTCTGTAATTGTTCCAGCTCTGATATTTCTCCTGCTTTGAACGGGGCTGTCAGCACTGAGCAGTATTCTAAATGAGGGAGCACTAGTGATTTGAAGAGTGTCACCATCGGCATTATTTCCCTTGTTTTGAAAGTTCTCAATACTCACCCCGTCATCTTCCTGGTTGTCGTAATCTTTGTCTTGTTATGTTCCTTAAAAGAAAGGTCAGCTGATATAATTATTCCCAGGTCTTTTACGTGTTCATTTCGTTATATTTGGTGGCCCTCTTGAGTTCTTCATTCTTTCCATGCCTAAACAGCTGGAACTTACCCCTAATGAACGTGTTGTTGTTCTCCACTGCCCACTGGAAAACCCTTCTTATGTCTTCCTGTAATTTTTCAGTGTCCTCTACCGTAGTGACTTTCATGCTTATTATTTAATCCCATCTGCAAATCATGATACAAAAGTGTGACGGGTGTTTCGATCTATGTCTGCTATGAGGATGAGAAACAGCAGAGGTGCCAGGACAGTGCCTTGGGGCACTGAGCTTTTGACCTCGCTCTGTTTACTACTACTTGCCTACCTTCCCCATATTGCCCATGACCTTCATTTTGTGCGCTATCACTCCATGATCGCATTTGTCAAACGCTTTTGCAAAATCTGTGTAAATCACATCTGCGTTTCGGTCGTCTTCCAATGCCTCCGTGATTTTGTCATAATGGTTCGGCAGGTGTGACAGACATGATCGTTCTGCTCTAAAACCATGTTTGTTCGCATTATGTTGGTTGTGCTGGCCCATGAAATTTGTAATCTGCCGTTTCATCACTCTTTCGAAGATTTTTATGATGTGAGAAGTTAGGGCTACCTCCCTTATGCAAAGAAGCTGTCTGCACACTTTAAGGCCTCTGGTATTTCACCTACATCTAAGCTCTTTCTCAAAAGAATAGTGAGGGCTCGTGCTAGTGGTACTTTGCACTTCTATATAAATAGAGCATTCCATGAATCTGGTCCAGGTGCTGAGTGAGTGGGCATGTTGTCCATTTCTTTTTTGAAATCTATGGGATCTGTACTAATTCCGTTAGCTGGCCTGCGCAGCAGCCTGTTTCTTGACGAACCTTACCTAACCTAACCTTCTGCTGGAGTGAAAATATTTCTCCATTTTCTACCGTGTTGTCATTTAGTAGGTTGCAGAAAAACCGACTGGTACTGTTCTTTTAGGATTTCACTCATTTCCTGTTCATCGTCAGTATACGAATCTCCTCTCAACAATGGTCCAATTCAACAAGTAGTTCTTAGTTTGGATTTTGTATAGGAATAGAAATATTTTGGGTTTCTTGCAATATCCTGTATGGCCCTTTGTTCCCTTTGTACTTCTCCTGTTAGGTATGACATCCTGAGTTTTTGCTCTAATTCAGTGATCTCTCGGCTAAGCCTATCTTTCCTCTGTTGCAACATATTTGTGTTTTCAAGCAATTCAATAACCCGTTTTCTTCTTCTCTACCATTTCCTACGCCCTATATCTGATCTTCTTCTGGGTTTCCTCAATAGTACGTGCTTCATACATACTTTGTATGTTTCTGTATTCAGCTTCTCTAAGCACTGGTGAAGATTTAGGGTGCTCATGTCTGATTCCCAGGGTATGTCTGATAACTCTTGGTTTATATTTTCCCAGTCAATTCTACAGTTGTTAAAATTAAACTTACTGAACATTCCGTCTCTAACATTAGTGGTGCAGTGCCTTAACCCTGAGTTAATACTCGTCTGAACTTCTATGATGATGTGATCAGAATATATTGTTTTTGTAACTGTTATGTCTCTGATTAGCTCCTCATTGTTTGTGAATAAAAACTCCAGGGTATTTTCATTTCTAGTGGGATCAATTATCTGTTGGTTCAATGAGAACTTTTCACAAAGCCTCATTAGTTCCCTGGTATGTGCCTGTTGAGCCAGGGTGCTTCCCGGGGATAATTCTGGTATAACATTGTGTTGTGCCATCTTCCATTCTACATGAGGGAGATTAAAATCTCCAAGGAGTAAAATGTTTGGTGTGGGATTTTCTAGCCTATCCAGATAGCTATCTATCTTCCTTAACTGATCTATGAATTCCTCAGCACTTGCTGATGATGGTTTGTATACTAGGATAATTACCAAATTCCAATTTTCAACTTTAATGCCTAGAATTTCTACTATATCATTCGTAGAGTTCATCACTTCTGTGCAACAGAAAGTATCCTTTACATAGATTCCTACTCCTCCCTGTGACCTATTAATTCTATCACATCTATACATGTTAGAGTTTTCTATCTTTATTTCTCCATCCAAAACATCCCTTGTGTGTGTGTCCGTAATGCCCCAAACATGGCATTCTCTTCTGTCAGGAGCCCACTGACATAACTAACTTTGTCGTTTTTATTCGATATCAGACCCTGAATATTTGCAAATATGAAGCAGGAATTACCATTTGGGATGTTTTGTTTTGCTTTGTGTTTCGTTAGTACCACTAGTGATGTAATACCTGGTATGGCCCCTGGTGTACATACCCCTGGCAGGTAAGGGACCAAGACTAACCAGGCAGGATCTGGTGTCTGGAAAGTAAGGTGGAATGTTACCAAGAATAGTTCCTCATTTATTTGATCAACAATCAGCATTCCATTTCTTTCAAGACAATCACATGCACCACGAGCCCACTGTAGGTGACAAGCTTCTGGTGAGAATGCTCAGTACTTCTCTTGGTACTCAAGACAAAAGCTCAGTTCAACGGTAACTCCATTACAACATTATATATATATATATATATATATATATATATATATATATATATATATATATATTTTATATATATATATATATATATATATATACCATCACCAGGCAGGCCAGTGTGCTGGTCTCTGGCGTGTGATCTAAAATCTTATGTTTATTATGCAATAAAAGCGTGATTCCTGGAGTTTTCCACGACTGTCACTGACTCAGCGACTCATGTGGCACTACAATGTTAACTGACATAAAAAATGAAGATAATTAAGCACTGTTCAGATACTCACCGTTTGCTGACATGAGATCAAACTCGCCCTTGTATCTGCGGAACATACCTGAAAAAAAAAATACAATTAAGTTTTGAATTTTAAAACACTAAAGAATTTAAGTAAATAAAAAAAAAGATTTCTTTTACGGGTATATATTATTTTTTTCAAAACCATCTATGTATTGTGGCGAGCAGGCATGTAATTTTCTAAAGGAAGCGTATTGTGGGTCTTTTTCACCAGGTTATGTACGTACTAACAACAACATCAACAAACTGATGCAATATTTTAGCAGTTCCTTAAACTGGGTTATTCACACTGGTTTACAGCGACGATTTGGAAAGTCAAATTAATGTTTCTTCTAAACAATTAGCGCTAATAACAGCCGGTATGAAGAACCTTGCAAAGTCTTATTAGTAATCTTATAAGATGCTAAACCTGTATATATGTACGGAAGATAACTCTTGAACAAAGCAAAATAAGCTTCCACTGAAGGTTTTCTAATTTTCAACATCTAACACAAATAGTGAACAAATTTTTCTAGGGCTTCCTGTGAGTGAGCAGACCTCCATGATAATAATATAACCCACACAGCTGGCAGAGCAGACCTCCATGATAATAATATAACCCACACAGCTGGCAGAGCAGACCTCCATGATAATAATATAACCCACACAGCTGGCAGAGCAGACCTCCATGATAATAATATAACCCACACAGCTGGCAGAGCAGACCTCCATGAAATAATATAACCCACACAGCTGGCAGAGCAGACCTCCATTTATAATAATATAACCACACAGGGTGGCAGAGCAGACCTCCATGATAATAATTAACCCATACAGCTGGCAGAGCAGACCCCTGATAATAATATAACCCACACAGCTGGCAGAGCAGACCTCCATGATAATAATATAACCCACACAGCTGGCAGAGCAGACCTCCATGATAATAAATAACCCAAAAGCTGGCAGAGCAACCTCCATGATAATAATATAACCCACACAGCTGGGAGGCAACCTCCATGATAATAATATAACCCACACAGCTGGCAGAGCAACCTCCATGATAATAATATAACCCACACAGCTGGCAGAGCAAACCTCCATGAATAATAATATAACCCAAACAGCTGGCAGAGCAGACCCCCATGATAATAATATAACCCACACAGCTGGGAAGCAGACCTCCATGATAAAAATATAACCCACACAGCTGGCAGAGCAGACCCCCCATGATAATAATATAACCCACACAGCTGGCAGAGCAGACCTCCGTGATAATAATATAAACCCACACAGCTGGCAGAGCAGACCTCCATGATAAAATATAACCCACACGCTGGCAGAGTAGACATCGTGATAATAATATAACCCACACAGCTGGCAGAGCGACCTCCGTGATTTATAATATAACCCACACAGCTGGCAGAGCAGACCTCCATGATAAAATATAACCCACACAGCTGGGAGAGCCCGACCTCCGTGATAATAATATAACCCACACAGCTGGCAGAGCAGACCTCCGTGATTATAATATAACCCACACAGCTGGCAGAGCAGACCTCCATGATAATAATATAACCCACACAGCTGGCAGAGCAGACCTCCATGATAATAATATAACCCACACAACTGGCAAGCAGACCTCCGTGATTATAATATAACCCAAACGCTGGCAGAGCAGACCTCCATGATAATAATAAACCCAAACAGCTGGGAGAGCAGACCTCCGTGATAATAATAAAACCCACACAGCTGGCAGAGCAGACCTCCGTGTAATAATATAACCCACACAGCTTTGGGAGAGCAGACCTCCATGATAATAATATAACCCACACAGCTGGGAGAGCAGACCCCAGATATAATATAACCCAAACAGCTGGCAGAGCAACCTCCATGATAATAATATAACCCACACAGCTGGCAGAGCAGACATCCATGATAAAAATATAACCCACACAGCTGGCAGAGCAGACCTCCATGATAATAATATAACCCACACAGCTGGGAGAGCAGAAACCTCCAGATAATAATATAACCCAAACAGCTGGCAGAGCAGACCTCCATGATAATAATATAACCCACACAGCTGGCAGAGCAGACCTCCATGATAATATATAAACCCACACAGCTGGCAGAGCAGACCTCCATGATAATAATATAACCCACACAGCTGGCAGAGCAGACCTCCGTGATAATAATATAACCCACACAGCTGGCAGAGCAGACCTCCATGATAATAATATAACCCACACAGCTGGCAGAGCAGACCTCCGTGATAATAATATAAAACCCAAAACGCTGGCAGAGCAGACCTCCGTGATTATAATATAACCCACACAGCTGGCAGAGCAGACCTCCATGATAATAATATAACCCACACAGCTGGCAGAGCAGACCTCCGTGATAATAATAACCCACACAGCTGGCAGAGCAGACCTCCGTGATTATAATATAACCCACACAGCTGGCAGAGCAGACCTCCATGATAATAATATAACCCACACAGCTGGCAGAGCAGACCTCCATGATAATAATATAACCCACACAGCTGGCAGAGCAGACCTCCGTGATTATAATATAACCCAAACAGCTGGCAGAGCAGACCTCCATGATAATAATATAACCCAAACAGCTGGCAGAGCAGACCTCCGTGATAATAATAAACCCACACAGCTGGCAAAACAGACCTCCGTGATAATAATAACCCACACAGCTGGCAGAGCAGACCTCCATGATAATAATATAAACCCACAAAAGCTGGGAGAGCAGACCTCCATGATAATAATATAACCCAAACAGCTGGCAGAGCAGACCTCCATATAATAATATAACCCACACAGCTGGCAGAGCAACCTCCATGAAAAATAATATAACCCACACAGCTGGCAGAGCAGACCTCCATGATAATAATATAACCCAAACAGCTGGCAGAGCAGACCTCCATGATAATAATATAACCCAAACAGCTGGCAGAGCAGACCTCCATGATAATAATTAAAACCCCCACAGCTGGCAGAGCAGACCTCCATGATAATAATATAACCCAAACAGCTGGCAGAGCAGACCTCCATGATAATAATATAACCCACACAGCTGGCAGAGCAGACCTCCATGATAATAATATAAAACCCAAAAAAGCTGGCAGAGCAGACCTCCGTGATAATAATATAACCCAAACAGCTGGCAGAGCAGACCTCCGTGATAATAATATAACCCAAACAGCTGGCAGAGCAGACCTCCGTGATAATAATATAACCCACACAGCTGGCAGAGCAGACCTCCATGATAATAATATAACCCAAACAGCTGGCAGAGCAGACCTCCGTGATAATAATATAACCCACACAGCTGGCAGAGCAGACCTCCATGATAATAATATAACCCACACAGCTGGCAGAGCAGACCTCCATGATAATAATATAACCCACACAGCTGGGAAGCAGACCTCCATGATAATAATATAACCCAAACAGCTGGCAGAGCAGACCTCCATGATAATAATATAACCCACACAGCTGGCAGAGCAGACCTCCATGATAATAATATAACCCACACAGCTGGCAGAGCAGACCTCCATGATAATAATATAACCCACACAGCTGGCAGAGCAGACCTCCATGATAAAAAAAAAACCCAAACAGCTGGCAGAGCAGACCTCCCCTGATAATAATATAACCCACACAGCTGGCAGAGCAGACCTCCATGATAATAATTTAACCCCCACAGCTGGCAGAGCAGACCTCCATGATAATAATATAAACCCCAAACACTGGCAGAGCAGACCTCCATGATAATAATATAACCCACACAGCTGGCAGAGCAGACCTCCATGAAATAATATAACCCAAACAGCTGGCAGAGCAGACCTCCATGATAATAATAAACCCACAAAACTGCAGAGCCCGACCTCCATGATAATAATATAACCCAAACGCTGGCAGAGCAGACCTCCATGATAATAATATAACCCAAACAGCTGCAGAGCAGACCTCCGTGATTATAATATAACCCAAAAAGCGGCAGAGCAGACCTCCATGATAATAATATAACCCACACAGCTGGCAGAGCAGACCTCCATGATAATAATATAACCCACACAGCTGGCAGAGCAGACCTCCATGATAATAATATAACCCAAACAGCTGGCAGAGCAGACCTCCATGATAATAATATAACCCACACAGCTGGCAGAGCAGACCTCCATGATAATAATATAACCCACACAGCTGGCAGAGCAGACCTCCATGATAATAATATAACCCCAAAAAGCGGCAGAGCAGACCTCCATGATAATAATATAACCCAAACAGCTGGCAGAGCAGACCTCCATGATAATAATATAACCCAAACAGCTGGCAGAGCAGACCTCCATGATAATATAACCCACACAGCTGGCAGAGCAGACCTCCATGATAATAATATAACCCAAACAGCTGGCAGAGCAGACCTCCATGATAATAATATAACCCACACAGCTGGCAGAGCAGACCTCCATGATAATAATATAACCCAAACAGCTGGCAGAGCAGACCCCATGATAATAATAAAAACCCACACAGCTGGCAGAGCAGACCTCCATGATAATAATATAACCCACACAGCTGGCAGAGCAGACCTCCATGATAATAATATAACCCACACAGCTGGCAGAGCAGACCTCCATGATAATAATATAACCCACACAGCTGGCAGAGCAGACCTCCATGATAATAATAAACCCACACAGCTGGCAGAGCAGACCTCCATGATAAATAATATAACCCACACAGCTGGCAGAGCAGACCTCCATGATAATAAATAAACCCACACAGCTGGCAGAGCAGACCTCCATGATAATAATAAAAACCCACACAGCTGGCAGAGCAGACCTCCATGTTAATAATATAACCCACACAGCTGGCAGAGCAGACCTCCATGATAATAATATAACCCACACAGCTGGCAGAGCAGACCTCCATGATAATAATATAACCCACACAGCTGGCAGAGCAGACCTCCAAAGATAATAATATAAACCCCACAGCTGGCAGAGCAGACCTCCATGATAATAATATAACCCACACA